CAGTGTTTTCAAACCACCTTCTCCCAGTAACTTGAGCACATCTCCAGGTACATCATCATCTCCTGTAGCCTTTCCCTTCCTCATTTCCTTGATAGCTTTTTCCACCTCACTTTGTAAAACATATGGTTCTTTCTCTTCTGTATCTACTTCTTCTTCCTGTTCAACTTCTAAGGTTTCTGGCCGATTAGGTCGATCATATAGTTCTGTAATATAATTTTCCCAAATTTTCAGCACTTGCCTCTGATCTACTATTCTATTCCCCTGGGAGTCTTCGAGGCCAATATTTTGAATCCCATGATTCTCTTTCCATCCTAGTTCTTTTGTCTTCATGCACATCAAATCATAACATCTTGTTCTTTGAATTTCTATAATCTCATTACATATCTTCTCAAGCTTTTCCGTTTTGACCCTGTCCGTGGCTCTTTTCAATTCATTCCTCAGTCTCCTGTATTTCCTCCTGCCTTCTTCGTTGTTGACATTCTTCTATTTCCTTCACTCCTCCATTTTACTCATCATCTCCTGTGTAACCCATGGTTTTCTTGCTATCTTCTCAACTTTACCAACCAAATCACTGATAGTATCTAACATGTATTCTTTTATATTGTTCCACTGCACTTCAGCAATTCTGCTTTCACCTTCAATTGCACGGAGTTTCTCTTCTAGGGTCTCCTGCACACTTTGTCTTTTAGCATATAACTTCTCCAAATCCCATCTAGGTCTGTGCTTTTGAAATCTTACAATTTTCTTCAACTTGGTTTAAAACTTGGCAACCAGTAAGTTGTGCTTACAGTCAATATCTGCCACAGGCAGCATCTTCACATCCTTCACACTGTTTCTGAATCAATGTTTTACAAGGATGTAGTCCAGCTGATGCCTCCTCCAATCCCCAGGTGCCTTCCATGTGTAAATTCTTCTCTTTGGCTTCTTGAACCAAGCATTGTTGACAATCAGTCCATTTCGTTCACAAAAGTCAATAAGCATTTGACCCCTGTGATTCCATCTTCCTAGTCCATGTGATCCAACAATATTCTGATATGGTTCATCTCCAACAATGCTATTCCTGTCTCCCAATATGATGCTGTTTGTGTCACCTCTTCCATCTTCCTGAAGAATTTCTACAATTGTGTTATACACTTTTTCCACTTCATCATCTTCATACTCTGATGTTGGCATGTACACTTGCATAATCAGTATATCTACTGGTTCCGCCTTTAACTTCAGAGCAATAATTCTGTCATTACAAACAATCTTCTTAACAGTCCTCACTACACTTTTATGCACCACTATTGTCACACCTCTTTCAGCCCGTTCACCTCCAGAATAATACACTGTATAATCACCACTTCTTATTTCACCTTGTCCTTTCCACCGCACTTCGCTGACACCTAGAACAGACACCTCATTCTTCTGCATTTCCGTTTTCAAGTTCTCCAATTTGCCTGCTTGATTCAAGGTCCTTACATTCCATATACCAATCTTGTAGCCATGGTGTTCCTTCTGATCTTTGCACTTTTTCTTGTTGTAACGCCTGCATGGCATTTCCTCTAGAAACACTCTCCCCCAGAGATCCGATGGGGTGAGTAGTTTACCTCCAGATTGTTTTGTCTCCAGAGGAAACATCTCGCATACATGGTATCTCTGTTTTTGGAAAGAGACTATCCAGGAAAAGTGATAATGTGGTAGTTTTTCCATGTTAAGTCACTCAGTAGAAAATTTCTGCCAAGAAATGGAATTTCAAGAAGTTAGTTCTATTGCAGGACTTGGCAGTCTAAGGGTTAAAACACAATCTTCACTCACCAAGCACAAACACCACACCCAATAAACATGGGCTAGTGACAACATATTTGCACAGAAACTTACATATAACAAGGCACACCAGTCATTTCAAACTGCAAAAGACTACTCTCACCATCAAGAACATCACATTCAGCAAATGAGTCATGTGACTGATGAAAATGTGTGAATGAAATATAATGGTGCATTAATAAGCACACACGCATTGAAACATTTACTGAAGTTGCATTAATAAATCTAAAATAAATAACTGATTGAAACACATTTAAAGAATTAATGTGGAGGGTGTAGAGGATTGTGGACTCCGCGCGACGCGGTAACAAGCATTGCCAGCGGTGACATAACAGCAGAGCAGATGTGTTAGGTGACCATTGCCATGGTTACATAACAGCATAGGAGCCGCTGCTGGTGCTGTGGTAACAGACCAGTAAACACACACCCCGCGGTGATGTAACAGCAGAGGAGCGGTGGTAGGCACCCACTCCCCACTGTGACATAACAGGGAACACTGCTGTTACCACGGGGCAACAGGGAACAGTATAAGAGGCTGGCTGAGCGGTGTGTGAGTGTGTGTGTTTGTTGTGAAGCCAGACAGAAAACAGTGGAAGCCAGCATGGAGAGTTAAACAGTTCTGCAGTATATTGAGAGTTGTTATACGAAGAGAGTGACTGTGAAACGACTTGTTCAACATTTGTGTTGAATTGTTATGGCGTTGAGTAATGAAGTGACGTTACAAGAATACACCCCTCGAGTCTTGTTTCATGACAGAAGGTGTGGAGTGGATTGCATCTCTTAAGGTACAGACCCATAAGAGGCTGTGTGGAACATGGTAATGAACTTTTACTTCCGAAAAGGCAGGCATATTCTAGATCAGCTGAGTAACCACTAGCTTCTAAAGAAGGGCTCTGCTCCATGCACTTAGCAGTTCATAGCCGTTTTGAAGTTTCCGAAAAGAAATATTTAAAAATCAGCTGTTATCAGTTTGATGCCTTGAGAAAGGGAAGTCTGTCCTATTTTTAGCCTACTTATTTTCAAAAAATAGAAGAAATTGTGGGAAGAACTAGTTTCCTACTTCCTTTCACTACATATTGAGTAACTGATAAAACCCAGACCACATAGGACATACAATGTCCAGTAACTTCCACATTTAATGTGATATCATGCAGGAAGCCATATTAGTCAGAAGACTTCCCTATACCAGGGAATGGGTTTGTAAACAAATTCCTGCAGCAGTGGATACACTCAGACCACACAGAAAATACTATGTCCAACAGTTCTTTTGTGATTGCTTGTGTATTCATTGCTGTGGGAACATGCTTACAAAGCTGTTGGCTACTTTATTTCTTCTTAAAAAATGAAAAGAGCCTTATGAGATCACCTTGCTGTCTGTGTGTAACCCCTGGATCCAGAAGAGATGGCATTTGGAACACTGTATGAGCATTATATGACATGGGTCATATCTTGACAGTGATCTTTCATGCTATCTTGAAATCAGATGGAAGCTATTAATTAATATATTTTTTTTATTTTGTTATTTTTTCCTTGATCGAAGTTAAAGTCTGGTTATGTTAATCATGAATGAGATGAGATATCGTAACAATGTATTGCAGTGTTATACACTTGTAATACACTGTTCTTTCGGAATTTTCTTGAGTTCCCTCATGACAGCGAGCTGTCTGTTCGATAGAAATAAGAGACCATTAGTCTCCTGGCAAGGGCTTCATAGCTGACACCCTGAAACTTAATATGAACCACAAGTGAGGGGTTGGAGCATTTTTTGGTAGCATCAGAGTGACCAGGCAACGTCTGTGCTGAAACCACTATAAGACACAGCTCAGAATGGTTCTGGTGTGTTTGGTATCCACTCCTGTAAGATATGTAGTTGGCCAATCATGGTACAATTTACCTTAATTAACAGAGTACAGCATTGAATTCTGCAATAAATAATCGTTCAGAATTAAATCTGGACTCCTTCATCGTTCACCAGAGATCAACTTTCTCCCACATAAATTAAACCGCTTAAGCTACTTTCACAGATATCAACTTTATCCAGATTCCTGAGGGAAATTCAGGTGGTGTCCACTAAATCAGTCATTAAATAATGTCTGAAAATTGAAGGTGCAGTGTCTACATGACGCCTCAAAGTCGAAACAGTGCAGCCATACAGGGGCGGCGGAAATGGCCATTGCTAGGCAACGGCTCGGTAATTAGGTGTACAAACTCTCAGGTTTCTGTGCACCTCGACTGACTACTAACCATGGTCATGCGTCGAGTCCATTACTCCAGCAAATTGATGCTGGTCCTCACCAGCATATTCGTTCTTGATTTTGGGGCCCAGGCTTCTCTCCAAGGTCTCACAGATTGAACTGACTTCCTATAGGAAATGTAAGGAATCCAGCCACATTTCTCTGGTAGATCATCTGTTCAGTCACCCCAGCTTGGACATCTCTCTGATCAGGACTCTCATTGTTGAAGCAGAAGTCATAAAAATACTACTCCAACCAATGTAGATTATGTGAGAATGTGAAGTTTTTACATTGGTACTATACAGAGAATTTGTCTCTTTAATGATGGCTTATATTCTGAACGTACACTGATTTTATGGACAGTGGCCATTAAGTAATACATAGAAATAGGTGCTAGGCTTCGTGTGTGGATTTTTTTAATGTTTTTCATGTTTGTCTGAACTCTTACTGATGGTTTATGTTGTGGTTGGTTCATAGATCCTATCTTGCGTTGCTGCTGATGTCCAGAGACAGGCAGTAGCTCTAATGATTTAGCTCAAGTGAATAGGGTTTTACCTGAAGACAGGTGCCGAACCAGTCTCTGAAACATTGTTTTAAATAAAAAACAGGACTATGCATAATTTCGAAAATTACAACAATTTTATGAGGGAAGTAGCCTAAGAATGAGGTTTATGAGATCACCTTGCTGTCTGTGAGTCCTGCCCGAACATTCCTTGGCACTAATTTGGTAAACTTATTCTGGCAGCCACAAATACACATGCAGAAGTAGGAGGCAGTGTGTGGTATGTGTCATATCAAATACTCAATATGCTGTGAAAGGAAAGTAGGCATTTTTTCTTCCCAGAACTTGTTGTAAGTAGCACAAATGCATAGCCATTATAGATGTGGCACTTTTGGTTTTACAGAACCCTACAGATTTGGAGAAAGTACGAGGTCTGTGTAGTGAGATGTGCCCAGCTTCCTCTCATGATACATATCCGGCCTTCAGTATAAAAGCCGAGGTATTTTCAGATGCAGAAGTGGAGGAGTATCCTGTCCCACTAACATTTGCAGGAATAGAGGCAGAACCTGAGGTGAGTTCTGTCTCTTTGTCCATGTTGTGGGATTTCACAGACACAGGTATCACACGTTTTGTGAACACTTGATTTATGAAGTTTTGCTTTAATGAACAACTTACAATCATGAGCAGCATTTTTGCAAAAGCAAAGAAGTACAAAACATGGGGCAAGTGAGGAGAAGCAGGCATCACAACCCACCTGAATCTTCCACCATCCCAGTCTGTCCACATGCCATGTTCTTATACAGCTGTGCTCATGATGCTTACATTTTATCCATAAATGTCTGTGTTATTTGTGCCCTTCATGGCTCCCTGAGAGAAAAAAAGAAGAAGAAGAAGAAAGGAATCCACTCTAAGATGGTCTGAGAAACTTTTATGCGCCAATCCAAAATGAAGTCCAGACTATCATAAATGCTGTCTAACACTATGACTCCTATTAACACTTGTGCCTTCTGCACCAGTCACCTTGAGATTCTGTGTGTGAGGAATAACCTCCAGTCTTCCTGTAGAGGAATGTGCCAACACAGGCCCATCCTCCTCCTTGCAGTATGCTGTTTACTTTTTATATGGCTGTGTACAGAGTGGCACATGGAATCCTATTCTGATGGATTCATACAAGTTTTGAACAGTCTCTAGTGGAGTTTTATAACATTCATCTTGAAGAACATGTTCAAGTTGCTTTACAAATGTTGGAGGTGGGAATCTGTTCCTTACTCTGGTCTGCAAAACTGACCAGAGTGGTTGACTGATGTTGAAATCTGGTGGTAATGCTGGCCAGGGAAGAGGTTGAAGTTCACCTTCATGCTCTTAAGACCATGACTGAACAGTTCCAGATGTGTGAATGGAGGTATTGCTGTCTTGCAAGACTGCATCATTGTTTGGAAATAACATCTGGATCATGGGATGCACTTCATAACCCAAACTGTCCTTATATTCCCTTGCAGTAATTCGGCCATGGATGGTTTTATTGGGACCAACAGAATACTCTACCACAATATTGCTGCTCATGTGTTTCACTGTTAGAACCAGACATTCAGGATTGTAGGCTCCCATGGGTATTCTCCAAATGAACACTCTTCCTGATGTAGGGAACAGCATGAAGGATGACTCATCTGACCATATCACTGGCACTTTTCCATTTGTCTGATGTCCAGGTTTTATGGTAGTGACACCATCGTTTACGCATCTGAGAATTACTTTCAGTAATCAGAGGTGGATATTAGATTTGTGAAGCTCATGTTGGACAGTTTTTGTGGAAATAGGGTCTTCAGGATAAATATTTAATCAAGTTGTCACCTATGCTGCAATAGTTCTGTGATATTTTAAACAGTCCTTCTTACTGTACAACGATCTTTTTCTGTTAAAGTGTATTTTCGCCTACACTTCATTCCTCTTCACTGATGTTGTCTTGCCATGATTCATGTATGCTGACATAACCTTAGAAACTTTTGCTTTCGATACACCTAATGTGGAAGTTTCTGTCACAGATACTCCAGCTAAACGCACACCAATGATCTGTCCTCTGTCAAAATCAGAGCAAGTCTTCCATTTTTCAATTCTTTGACACAGACTGTCACTCATTACAATCACTAATGCAATGACATGTGCACTAGAGAGTGTAAACAAAAGGAAAAATAACATCCAGTGTTGCCAACCAAAGTTCTTTAATATATTCAACACAAATTCTGTTCCTCAGTTTCTTAGTGATTTCATTATTTTGTCCACCTCATGTATTTACTAGTATTTAGACGCCCAGTCCCACTAGCGAGCATTGAAACCAACAATGGAATCTGGGGCGATGATGTGGTCTGTTGTGTGATGTTTCAGCAGTGATGCTCACTATGATATATAAAAGTCTCTTTCATCTCATCTGACATTATCCTCTGCATTTCGATCTTTCTTGCACAGACATCATTATTGCTTTGTAGAGTCTTATTGGACATACACAAGGACATCTGGTTTATCATTTCCATAACGAGGTGCCTTTTGCAGGTTGTCTAGCACAGTGGACCTAGCTCTTGACTCAGCACCATACAAACCATCGTTGTGGCTGTGATACATGAATGACACTTTTGTAGTCTGGCCCCATGGTCCAGAGAGATTACAGAATTTCTTGAACCACCTTAATAGTTTAAGGCCTTCAATCTGCTTCACTATGGAAACTGAGTCAGACAATGCAATCTCTTTTCTGGATGTTCTGGTCATCAGGGAAGAGATGGCACTCGTCAGACAAGTCTACAGGAAATCCACCCACACTGGTCAATACCTGAACTTCAAATCTAACCATGCGCCACATGTAAAAAGAGGTTTGATTTAAAGTCTCCACGACAGAGCCTCGACCATATGCCAAGATTGACTAAATTTGGTCAAAGAAATTAACAACCTGAGACATGATCTTCAGTTGAACAGTTATCCCAAAGGCTTCATTGACTCAGTCATTAATTCCAAGGGCAGTAGTCATCTGAAGAAACAGAAAAAACCTCTGTGTTCTGTATGTATTCCATATGTGAAGGGTGTTTCTGATAAGTTTAAATGGTTAGGTAATCGATATAATATTAGGACCATCTTCTGAACAAAACACTCTTAGGAACTCTCTTATGAAAACCAGACCGAAAAGAGATCCGCAACAAACGGCACAGTGCATCTATAGCGTTCCCTATGAATGTAGCAGAAGCTACATTGGCAAAACAGGTAGACCTCTGGCCCTGCGGCTCTGGGAACATAGGCATAACCTCAAAGAAGGTCTTCTAGAAAAATCTAAACTAGCTCAACATGCCTATGAAGAGGGACATAGGGTAGCCTGGGATGAAGCTAAGATTTTGGATATTAAAAGCCACATCAGGTACAGAAAATACAAGGAAGCGGCCCCTATGACATGCTCGGCCAACCCAATTAGCCAACCCAGTTTGGACTTTTCTCCCATTTGGAACCCCATAATCAGCAATGAAGTCACAAATTCACATAGAAGATCTGTATGATGTGATATATGTTGTTATTAACTTCTATTAGGTTCCAAATTAGATAGATGTGATTTACTCCAATGTTGACGCTAGTTAGACACTATTAGTTTTTTACTAGTTTTCCTTTCTATCCATGCTGTGGTGTCATGGACCTGGTTATTAGTTTGGTTTCGTGACATAAATTTCTACGGCTCTATCTATCCAGGGTCCACGCGTGTATATGTTTGAAACAATTTGTAATGTATATTTTTCTTATTAGCTCTCATGGACTTAGCCTAGTCTCAGGTATTTATAGCCTTTGTGTTTTGGGACATCGGTTGTCCGGTGATTGAGGCTAGCTCTTCCTAAGGGACCCAACAGAATAGGTGTTTCTTCCTCACCTGAAGATGGAAACAGATCCAGTTTCTGAAACATCGTGTTTTTCTTAGTTATCTTAAAACGACAAAAACCCAATATCTTTATGTGTTATACACCATCGTCAGAATCCTATAGTAACTACTTGATTGTATTCTGTTCTATTTGAGTCATTTTATATGTATTTTTGTTTCATGGGTTTCGCTAGGCCGTACACAGCCTATCGTACTGTCATTCCTTAACTCAGCATTTATTATCACTCCATCTTAGGATCATATCCAGAATTAGACAGACTCCTGTAGAGACTTGCAGAGGGCAGTATTTTTTAATTTTGTAATCTGTTACAAAATCATAGTAGAGCTCGCCTTTTATTCTCTCACAAAAAGCCATACATCCTGATGGACACCGCCGCACACTTGCGTGTTTTCTCTCATTCCCTCTCGATCATCTCCCCACTTTTTCTCATCCTCTCTCCTAACACACTCTGTCACTTGTGATTCTGTATTTCAGCGTCCCATTGCAATTGTTCACATTAATGTCCGTTTGTCTATAATCCATCTAAATTGCAACACTTTTTATTCTACACTTCAACACACTCTTCGACACTACATGTTTCGGTCTCAAACGGCCATCTTCAAGTGTTTTTTAACACATTGCGGACCGGTTGTTTAAATATTTAAATCACCCAGGGGACAGGGGTTTTTAAGCCTAGCACCCTAACTTGTGCACTGTTCACTTTAAAAATTAATATAAAATCTCCTAATTAATTTTATGAACTAAAATTTTTGGAGAACACTTGCCAGAGCTCTTAGAAGTGCTTGTGCATGTGATATATCTGGAAACATTCCCCTTTGTGAAGAGGCATCATGCAGAAGTTGCAGATATACGCAGTCCTACTCTTCTTCTTGTGGACTGTGCACACATGGCACTGCCTAGAAGGGTACTTTTTCTTGCAATGTTCACTCTTCACAATTCTCATGAGGGTATGTTTACACATATCACCCAAGAGTCGTCCACGGGGGTCCACATGAGGCCTCCTGTGGGTGCGAACAGATGGCCCCAGCTGCACTACGTCTGTGTCTGATGCAGGTACTGCCGCCACCATGAGGTCAGTAGCCCAAACTTTTTCCAAGTTCAACAGAAATGCTTTGTATTTCAAAGCAGAATTTCTGTTCACCTGTTTGAAAACCGAAATTGAATTGAGAAGTGCACAGTTTATAAGCCACAGTGCAACTTTCTTCGTCCATTTTACTGTTTTGCTAGGAAGGGAATAATAGGCCAAGTACTGGTCAGCCCTATCAACTTCCTTCATGAACATATTATACTTGGAAATACAAAGAGGCTTCTTCACTTGCCCGTGGCGTCTCTGAACATCAACCATACTCGAATTGTGAATAGTGGAAACCATATTCACAATGCGAGTATCCTTCCAGGACTGAAGAAGAATGTCCCCCTTCCTCCTGAATGTGGTGTCACCACGTTTCAGGCTTTTACATTCCTCTTTCAGATCTGAAGGAAGGCCTCTGTTCACCCTAATTGTACCACAAATACTTACTTTCCTTGAAAGTAGGTATTCTGCAGTTGCCACACTGTTGTAATAATTATCTTGATAAACGTGATAATTTTGATCCAGATAGGGACCCAAAACAGAAACAATAGTTTCTTGCAATTTCTTGCCTTCAGCAGAATAAATTTATAAATTTCCTATATAGCCTGAAGTGCTTTCCGTGACTACACGAACAAGTAGGCCATACTTCGTGAGTTTCCCAGGATTATACGTTCGAATACGAAGCCTTCCCCTCACAGATTCGTCCAAAGACATTTGTTGCTCTGGCTTATAAACTGTCTGAAATTTCTCAATCAAAATGTCTAATAAGGGCTGAATTTTGAAAAGGCTGCCCATTGGTTGAGGTTGCACTTCATTATTATTGAAATGCAAACACCACCATATCTGCTCAAATCTCTTATGACTCATGAGTTTGCCGAAAATGGGAATTTCTAAAAATGGGTCACTTGACCAATAATCCTTCAAAGTATCTCTCTCTTCGTAAGACCCATTAGAATGATCTTAGCCAAAATTTTTTTCATTTCTATTGAAGTGACATCCACCCACTTCAACACTTTATAGGTGCGGTTGTATGCCTCACGGTGTTGGAGATAGTATCTGTTAGTCTCCTGACATAACCGGTCAAAGAAACTATCTCCAAAAACAGTGACACAACTTCAGACACATCCGTTGGGTCCAATGGCATGCGCTTCACCCCCGGATCAAAGTAAACCTACCCAAAGTGGGGGTTTTGTCCACTTTACCCCATGTGGCTGTCCCGGTACTCGAACTTTCATTGCAGCTCTCACTTTCACTGGACACAATATTTCTGGGGCACTGTGGCCCCTGTCACTGTCACTTTCACTGATGCTGGCCTCACTATCAGAAGACAAAGCAGTTGGTAAATCTGAGAGCTCATCGGAGAACAAATCTAATATTTCTTGTTCTCTGAGAGAACGCTTCGCCTGCAACTGCTTTCGTCTCTCATCCATGTTGCACTGCTAACTTCCTGGTTCATACGTGGAAGCTTGGACTCGAACAAATGCTTCTTTCTTTAGGGTGTGACAGGAAATGAGCGTGATCATGTTAGTGGCAAAGCTAGCGAACATTCCCGAGGTCAGCTATGCAGTAGTTATGATGCAACATGGCCACACAGCAAGATATAGTCGGTTGCAACATAACGCATCAGAAAAGGGCCAATTGGCCCGTCCGGTCTGCAATGCTATAGAAACGTAGAGGGCAATTGGCCCCTCCGGTCGTGAATGTGTTAACATATATTCTATTAAGACTGTGTCAAAACTGCTACACTGTTACACTGTTCCAATTCATTTTAAAAACCACATGCTGTAGTCTTCTTTTTAATTAAAATAAGATAAAATTCTTTTATAACTTTGTCACTTCATCCAGGGTGTCATCATTTCTGTAAATATATTAAGATGTTTTCCTTGGAAACTTGTTCCTCACGTCAGCTATCTGTATTTATAAATTCCTATAGTAATGTTCTTTTCTATTTATTATTATTATTATTATTATTATTATTACTATTACTATTGTTATTATCATTAGTAGTATTATTATGTTGTGTTTGTTTACTTTTTGTACTCACTTGCTCCTGTTTTGTGTTTGCTCCTCAATGTGTGGTGTTGTCTTTACTAGTGCTGATGCGGTGTAACTGTTCCTGTATTTATATGTTCTGGTTGTGAGGAGTGGGGAGAGATGGGAGTGGTATAATGTTTTGTTGTGTAATTTTGTATAGTATTTCAAATATAGGGTTGTGTGTTTCAATGTTGGTGTCATTCATAAGTATATCTTTTTTACTAGTTTTGTAAATATGGTATTTCTCCAGCGTATTTAGATGTTTTCCCTTTTTCCCGTTGTTATGGTTTCCATAGTGTCTGTTATTGTGCCGTACCTATGTCCGGTATTCAGTATATGACTTGAATGTCATGAGTTACTATTGTTACTTTTTATGTCGTGAATGTGTTCTTTATATCTGGTTTTGTATATTCTTCCTGTTTGTCCAACATATTTAAATGGGCAATCTAAATATTCATTTGATAGATTCCATTTTTATTATATTTATCTATTTGTGGTTTTGGTTTTAATATGTTTTGTATTGTGTTTTGCCTGCGGAAAAAGCTACTTTTACTTTCATATCTTGAAAATGTTTTGTGATCTTTTCTTACTTCCTTTCCGCTATACGTATCCCCCCC